TCCTGGAAAACTATGGCTCATTCTGCGCACATATAAAGTGCAGTATGTTTCCAGGATTTATTTGACTGCCTTCCCGATCGAATTTTGAGCTGAAATTTGGCATAGACAAACTAGACTTGATGAGGAACATGCTCAAACAATTTCATCAAAAAATTCCACCGGGAAGACCCTCTGATGGGCTTGTTCGCACTAGGGGTGGGTTTGTAGAACCGAAAACCGAAAACCGAATCGAATCAAATCAAACCGCGACCAAATAAACCGAACCGATGAAAAACCGAAACTAAACATAAGAAACCGAACCGAACCGAACATGTTTGGTTTCGATTTCGGTTTTGACTCCTCAAAACCGAACCGAACCGAAAAAACCGAAATATTTAAAAATATAAAAAAATCATTTATTTTATATGGAGTATATGGCCGGTCATGTGGTCAACGCTCAAGACCGAAAGCGTAAGAGGCTTTTTACGAGTCCAGTACTCCATAATCTTTTAACCTAAAATGCAAGAGGCTTAGCTCTCGAAAAAAGGAGCCGCCGTCGAAGACATGGTAGATCGATTCAAGATACAACAACAACAACATCCAAGCCTTAGTCTCAAATGAAATTGGGGTCGGCTAACATGAATCGATACATGATATCACCACCAAAAGAAAAAGAAAGAAAATGAAGATTAAAAAATAAGCTATTATAAAAAAAGATAATATAAAACGGAATGAATATACATAAAAATGATAAAATTTAAAGGGTAAAAATAATGTTTATATATATAAGGATAAAAGAATAAAAAACAAGAAAAAAAAGACGAGGGATAATAATAATATTAATAATAATAATAATAATAATAATAATAATAATAATAATAATAATAATAATAATAATAATAATAATAATAATAATAATAATAATAATAATAATAATAATAATAATAATAATAATAATAATAATAATAATAATAATAATAATAATAATAATAATAATAATAATAATAATAATAATAATAATAATAATAATAATAATAATAATAATAATAATAATAATAATAATAATAATAATAATAATAATAATAATAATAATAATAATAATACGAGATCACTACTCCACACGAATACCCGTCCTCCACTTTGCTCTCTCGATTCAAGATGTGAAGCAAAAATGAGCGGATCTCCCTTTGGGACTGCATTTTATTTTGATTTCAGTTGGGACTGCATTTTATTTTGCTGCACTATATCCAAGTTTACTACGCTTAACTTTTAAGTGTCATGCACTAATGTTTAGTGCACTTTATTTAAATTGTAAGGCAGGAATTGACTTTCTTCAGTACTTTGTGTTTTATTTTCCTGCACTTTGGTTATTTTGCACAATTGCACGTCATTTCTTTTTTCAGAAAGTATGTGTCTTTTGGTTTAAAACCGAAAAAACCGAAATCGAACCGAACAAAACCGAACCGAATCAACCGTGGTTGGACAAAAAATATGAACAAACCGAACCGAACCGAACCCAACCGAAGTTTTTAGTTTGATTCTACATTTGGTTTTAGGTCAAAACCGAACAGCATAAACCGAACCCACCCCTAGTCCGCACGGGGCTTCTCTTCAGGAGCTCCTGATAGGAACGGGACTCTCTCTCTCTATATATATATATATAATAGAAATATCTTGCAATTTATATAAAAAGTAATCTTATCACCGTGATAATATATTTTGTCTTTCACAATGTAAATTTATGTCGTTTAATACACAATTTAAAACTTTTAGCATTCATGATGATATAATTAACATTCTAAATATCTATTGTGAAATAAATAATATGACCAACTCTTTGCATGCTTGGTTGGTAGGTAAAATATTTCATACCACACGTCAAGAGTTCAAACTTCAAAGTCTGGAGAAGAGGAAACAAAAACATATTCAACAAATTTTTACATTATTCGCACTCTTCTTTGATTTTATATTATTCATTCATGTATTAATCAATTTTCTTATATAAAACATTATAAATTTGTCCCGGATTAAAATTTTGAAGTTGACTTTAAACTTCTGTAATTTTTACTAATAGTCAATGATAATAGTAAAAATCGTGTATTGGAAAATATCAAATCAAAAGTGTTGCATAATATATATATATATATATATATATATATATATATATATATATATATATATATATATATATATATATATATAGAAGAATGTTCATGTCAGGCCGGCCTGACGGGCTGCTCCGTCCGGCCAAACCCGTTTGGGCACCTTCCCGGTGGAATTTTTTGATGAAATATTTTGAGCATGTTCATCATCAAGTCTAGTTTGTCCATACCAAATTTCAGCTCAAAATTCGATCGGGAAGGCATTCAAATCATTTTTTCAAGTTGACTGCAGTTTTATATGTATATTTTGACGCAGTCAACTTCAAAAAATGATTTGAATGCCTTCCCGATCGAATTTTGAGCTGAAATTTGGTATGGGCAAACTAGACTTGATGGGGAACTTGCTCAAAATATTTCATCAAAAAATTCCACCGGGAAGGTTCCCAAATGGGCTCGGCCGGACGGAGCATCCCGTCAGGCCGGCCTGATGAGAAGAGCACTCTCTCTCTCTCTCTCTCTCTCTATATATATATATATATATATATATATATATATATATATATATATATATACACACGCACACACACATACATACATACATACACACTGGTGGCGGAGCCAGAGATTTTTCGAAGGAGGGGCGTACGAAAGAATTAAAATTATTGTGTATTTTCTCAGAATATAATACAAACAATAAAAGGGTAATACGTTAGCACAAATTAGTTCATTACATAATGCTTGACTCATAATACAAAAACTCAATATGACAATAACACTTTGTATTACCCTTACTCACTTTGTATCTGAGACCACGCCACTCTACCTAACTTGATCGATCACATACACTTTATCAAATGATATCTTTGAGGCTTATTCTCTCACAAGAAGGCTCCCACTCTCTGCTCTCAAGATATTCTCACTCAGCTTTCTACACTCACTCAAGAGCTCTCCTCAAGATTCTCATAGAAATAGGAAGCTTCTACGTACTAATCTCATCAAAGCTTCTCTAGAATTTTTATATACACCATTACACATCTAGATTCTTCCACAAAGTATCCACAAGTTTCTCTAATTTTTTTTGGAAGGATCGGGTTTAGAAAACTCCACAATTCTTCAAAATGTTTTAGAGGCTTCCACACACTTTCACAAGAATTTAGTGAGTTCCACACATTATTATTATTATTATTATTCTTGAAAGACTTTGTCTTTTATTTTAACACTTAATCTAAAATTATCCTTAATTGATATTTATATTTGAATAAAAGAAGGGGCCAATAATTATATTATAAGTAGTAGTAATTTTTTTTACCGTAGCGGGGGCGCTTGCCCCCTCATGCCCCTCCCTAACTCCTCCACTGTGACACACACACACACATATTGAGGTAGGTTCAAATAAGAAGCCTTTAGGTGACAAAAATTACACTTATTGAATTTTGACTACTTTGAAATATGCAACCTAACATGGTGACATTTTTGTATGGGGGTGGATTCGGGTCGGGCCGGGTCCGGGTCGGGCCTAGGCCCGGGCCGGGTCCGGGTCGGGCCTAGGCCCAGGCCGGCTTCGGGTCCGGGTCGGGCCTAGGCCGGGTTCGGGTCCGGGTCGGGCCTAGGCCTGGGCCGGGTCCGGGTCGGGCCTAGGCCTGGGCCGGGTCCGGGTCGGGCCTAGGCCTGGGCCGGGTCCGGGTCGGGCCTAGGCCTGGGCGGGCCGACGGTTCAGAATTGGTGGACCCAGGACTGGCCCGGGTAGCCACCAGGTCCGGGCCGGGACTCCGGTTTGGTTATATATATATATATATATATATATATATATATATATATATATATATATATATATATATAGTCCTTTTCTTGTCCAGCCGGCCTGACGGGAACTGCCGTCTGGCCGAGGGACTTCGGGCACTTCCCGATGGAATTTTTTGATGAATTTTTTTGAGCATGTTCTTCATGAAGTCTAGTTTATCCATATCAAATTTCAGATCAAAATTCGACCGGGAAGGCATTCAAATAATTTTTTGAAGTTGACTCGTCAAAGTATACATATAAACACCCAGTCAACTTCAAAAAATTATTTGAATGCCTTCCCGATCGAATTTTGAGCTGACATTTGGTATGGATAAACTAGACTTGATGAAGAACATGTCCAAAAACTTTCATCAAAAAATTCCACCGGGAAGTGCCCGAAATGCCCTCGGCCGGACGGCGGTTTCCGTCAGGCCGGCTGGACATGAAAAGTCCTCTCTCTCTCTCTCTCTCTCTCTCTCATATATATATATATATATATATATATATATATATATATATATATATATATATATATATATATATATATGTTGTTTTCCTAACCCCGCCTTACCCCCCCCCCCCACCCCCCAAACCCCTCCTAACCATCAAGCCCAACCCAGGTGGAACCCCAAAAAATGAAAAAAAAAATAAAACAAACAAACAAAAATAAAATCAATTCGACCGTCCGGGCCGGTTCGCCAAATGTAAGACCCGAGCCCGGACCCGCCCCCCGGGCCCGGACCCGAGAACCAGGCCGGTCCCGGTCCCGCACAGTAGCGGGCCGTGTGGCCCAACCCGAATCCACCCCTATTTTTGTAAATACTTTTTAACAAATCTGTAATGCAATTGTCTAGTGCAACATCAAACTATTCTGATGCAACATCATCCAATATTAGTTCAAAATGAAACAGTTTTAGTGCAACATTACAAAATTTAAATCTTCCTACCACATGAATTCTTAAAGTGCATATTTATGTATTTAAATCTTATAACATTAAGAAAATTTATACGGAGTATTACATATGAAAATTTGTAATATCTACCTCAATGGTTCAAAGTTTGAAATATTTGTATTATTTTTCTCTTAAATGCAATAAAGTACTGGGGTAGTTCATTCATTTTCTCAAATGGGACCAATTGCCAGATGCGTGGATTCATTTAAAAAAGCTAGAGAGATTGGTCAATTATGAATTAAAAAGGTAAAAATGTGTGACGTATAAAGTATGAATTAGAAAAGTGGACAATATTTAGGGGAAACAGTTTGAGAGAAACCAAAAGAGAAATAGAACAAACATGTGAGTCCTCTTCATCTTTCCTACCGCACCCAAGTTACTTCACTATTTCTGCAATGGGGCAGCCAGAACTATGCAGCAGTACACATGAATGATCATTACAGTTTCTACTGACAAGAAACTGAAACTTAGTTAAATGTTCCACAATGTTCAGAAGAGTAAATTGCAATCGGCGTGAAAGAACAAAATCTCTCCAGTTACAGCAAGCTCCAGTCCTGTCTAGACTAGGTGTCAGCATCACATTCGACATATATAGGAGGACATCGCCAAATCATCATCTACATTCAGTTACATGCTTTCCACTCCAACAAGAGGAACATAGTATTTTTCATCCGCTAAGACGGTAAGATCTCCCTCGGAATGCTCCGCCTGAACTCCTCTCAGGTTCTGCTCGATTTGTTAATGCGCCACCAATTCTCCATCTTGCTACCAATTTGTGTCTAAGCAGTTTCAGTTAAAGAAAATCTGCATCCATGAATAAGATATGGTCCTACGGAGCGCGGGATATGGCAACAACATTTTTATATAAGTTTTCCTTCTCTACTTGGCACGCTTATGCACAGGAGAAATAAATAAATAATATGAATCACATATTTCAGTCCTCAAAAACGGGACAAAGTTAGTATAAACTAAAATGAAAGAATGCAATGCCCAAAAAATTAATAAATTTGAATAATGTATATATTTTTAAGTTCTTATGGCACCACTATCTTTGGTATTTTTATTTTGGAAGCAAAATCAAGAAACATTTACTTTTTAAAGTATCCATCCCCCAAACATTTCTTTATTTACTTGTGGAAACAACGCCAAAACGTTATTTACTTGTCAGTTTTTTAAACGTCCAAAATAAGAGAGTTTGGGAGGCAGAGACAGGCTCGTTTAGTTTACATTTTAATATTGTTATTTTCCAGTTCGCTTTTTATTTTGGACCCCTTTTGTTGTTTCGGTGTGTTTTGATTATGTGGTGGGTAGAAATTTTGTGCTAAGAAGTAAGATGGCTTTAAAAGCCGAATTAATTTTCAAATCTCTCAGATGGTTAGCGACCCGATCCGCTCTAGTTCGGGTGGTCGTTTCTATGTCTAGTCAGAGAGTGAGGGGACCTTTGGGTTTTGGTGGGTTTGATAGCAGGAGGCTGAAAAGTTTGTAATGTCGTTAGTTCTGGAATTCTAATATAATCGTCAGTTTCCTTTAAAAAAAAAAGGTCAAAATGCTATCCCCAAGAGATTATGTGCATCATAGGTTCCTATATCCACAGCCAGTGAACTTAAAAGCAGAAAAGGGCAAATTTTGAGCCCCACCAGAAAGAAAGAACATGTACTTATGTGTCCCCAAAAGGCCCCAAGGAAAGGATACATCAAAGTTGGTGTTTTCAGGAGGGTCTTCCCAGTGGCAAGTGGATGCAACACTGTTAGGAAGTAGTACAGATGTCCAGCAATGATACCCAAGAGATCTGGCATTATTGGTGATCCAAAGATCACGTCTAAACCAAGCATAGCCCAAGGGAGATAAAATGCCTGCAAATAAGAAAAATGTCAGGCCATATAAATGAAATTTATGATAAATCCCCAATAACCTGTGGGGTAAGCATACCTTCAAAGTCACAAGGCCATATATATTGATATTGGCATTTGGGAATTCCCTACTCCAGACATATAGAAGCATGAAGACAAGTGATATTCCCAGGAAAGGGCTCCAGAAGTAAGGAATCGATGATAAAACCTAAGCACAGACGAGCATAGTTAAAACAAAGAATTGATATGTACGAAAAGGACCCATTTGAGCAAGCAAAGGTATGAACGAATACATAGATAATTGGTCATTGATTCACTGAGGTAGCGGGTAGCCAAAGTAACACATCTACCCACCCCTTAGCAAAACAACTGCCATATGATATGATTGTAACGTACCAACAATGATAAGGCTCCAAATATCATCATCCATAGGAAATCAGCTGTGCGTCTTTGAAAGGGCCCACTCTCCAGTTGCACACCATATCTAGCTCTAAAGCAGATAAAGCATCAAGCAGAGCATTAGAATACACGATTCATTCCTCATGAGCACACAACACATATGTCAATAAAAAATCTTTTGGTGGGGTCAATCAATTACTTACAAAGGACGTTAGACTATAATTCAGTAAAGAACTTTGTCAAGACACTTAGACTGGTGTACCAAAATGGTTATCAGATGAGTAATAATAATAAAATGGTTATTATAATAGCTTTGGTTACATAGCTTTCCATAACACATGAGTGAACTTTATCAATTAATGTGAATTTTATTATATTTCCCATAACACATGAGTAATAATAATAAAATAGTTATTTTAATAGCTTTGGTTACATAGCTTTCCATTATCAGATGAAAGTTGTGTTATCTACTTGGCAAGGACTTGCAACTCGGGGGTGGCTGTTCCGCTTAGCAATCCAACTCTGCCCGTGTTGTTTTTCCAAGTTACTTGACTCAGGGAAAATCTTGACTCAGCGAGTTACTCCGCCAGTCATAAAATATCTTTTTGTTAAATCTGAAAAGTTTTTAATTAAAGAGGGATATTATGGAATTTATAAATAACAAGTTGGTATTTTAAAAATTGGAAATTAATCTTAAAAAGCATGTTTAAAAGTATTTTAAACTGGTTCCTCCTCATCTCTATGAGTCTATGTAAGTTATTCTCTTGCACGGCTCTATCTTCTTTCTCACTTCTTCATTAGGATTATTATTATCTTATTCATATCTAAGAATTATATGAACAATACATAGTATATTACTATAATTTCAGACATTTATATTTTTAAAATTAATATAGGGTCGAGTAGTCACTGAGTAATCCCGAGTACTTCGTCCTACTCGCTACTTGGCCCTTGAACGAGTTGCTACTGAGTAGCGATTTAACTACTTGGGATGAACGGCTCAGCTAAATACAACCGGCAATTCTTATTTTTTCCATTCCCCCCCCCCAATTTCTTGATTGTATGATTAGATTTTTATGACATAAAACAAGTTTTTGAACATAATATGAACCACACTTTTTCTACTTTCTTCTTAAAATGATACAGATCTCTTTGAAAGTAACTTAAGATAAGTATGCACTTGGTTTCCATCTACTAGAAATTTCTTTCAGTTTAATGTGGGACATCTGCTAAGGGGTAAAAATAGACATTTTCATCCTCACAATAACATGTTGCCGGTATAGTTTGATGATGTAATTTTCTTATAAACCATGGCAGTATTAATGGATATTTACAGTTGAATATTAATTTTTTTAATAAGTTAAAATGTTCATATCAAGTTATCTGCTCATCTTCTAGCCATGATAGCCCTAAGTAGTGTAAGTACTTACATCATTAAGAGGCGAATCCCAAAATTGATGGAAAACTTTCCGAGGAAAAAGAAATTCGTTATTAATCTCCACACCTGAAAGCAAGAAACCCACCATTTGAAACACATGTATTCTTTTGTTAGCCATTTTTTAAATGGGCAGTGAGAGCAGGACTAGGTGAAACCCTAAAGAAACTACTCAAGAGAGCTACCCATATCACGTGTAGGGATGCACACATATTAATCAAAGAATGTGTTACTTTAGTAAACAGCAGGAATAAATCCCAAACCATGGCTTTTCTCGTAAATGTCAAATTCTCATACTTATCGGACATGTCTATATGACACACTATCAACTGGAATGACAATTCAAAAGATGCCGTTAAAAAAACTTAAGCAGGAAATGGTCATATTATGATTACTTAATCTACATATAAAAAATAGATATATGTTACAGAAAGTATTGACCATTACAATATATACCACTACATCCACCAATGTGATGGCAGCTCAGTAGCTCACTGCATCCACCAGATCAGTGTTCAGTGGAAACCACTGTGCAGGAAGTGTTATGGAAACCACTTATAGTCTAATACATTGAATATACAGATCAAAGTGTTTACCTGAAAACGATAGAATACAAGCTCATGCAACAATGCAATGTTTACCGGATCGACTACCCCCAATGCATATGCAACTGTAACAGCCAAACAAGCAGTGCCATAAGCTTTGCTGATTGGTGGAAGAGATTTGTAGTACCTGCAACCAATGAAATGGTAGAGGATTGCAATGGTAAGCAGATATAATGAACAATACATGCTACCTGTCAGTCTGTCATCATCATCATCACCGCCTTAATCCCAGCTACTTTGGGGTTGGTGACATGAAACTACAGTGCTTGATTAGTGCTTATATTATTTAACACTATATCTATCCAAAAATCATTGCCAAAGTTTAAAGCTGGATGCCTTTCCTATTGAAACCTTTTAAAGAAAGGATGATGAGATGAAATTTCAAAACCATCATCGTCAAAGATTTCTCCACTTACATAGAATTTATCATGAACATAAAGTAAGTTGAGAAAGTTGCTAAGTCAAGCCTCAGTAACATGCATATTGATATTTTCGTATTTGTCACAACACAAAATAAGGGAATAACAGTGAGCCACTTGTATACATGAATCCATGCAGCTAAGACACAAGCAGGTCCGAAAAGTGTTCTCTGGAAACCTAAGTGGTAAATAGCAACAGAATGGGTATTGACAATATACAGATTCTTTGCACAGACAAAACCACCATGCTTAACTATGAGTGCATGATTGTTTATCACCAATTAGCGAGCAGTCCTGCCATCTCCAAATTGTTTAACTCAAATTAAATCATAAGACATAATCATTAATGAACAGTTTCAACTCCCAACAATAAAGCTACTTTATACCATCAAAATTATACGTAGTATGTAATTAGAATAGATCCTTTGTCAAAACACATAATTTTTCCGTCCTCACTGTTTATCTCAAATCAAATCATAAGGCATATTCCTTAAAAAACAGTTTCATCTTCTAACAATAAAGCTACTTTATACCATCACAAATTATATGTAATTAGATCCTTCATCAAGATTCAGAAATTTTCTGCTCCCATTCCTCAAATCCCGATTAACCTTCTAACACCTTTGACTTACATGGATGCCTTTCCTCTTTCCTTTGCATGGATGCAGTGGCAAATTGCAATCACTTTGTACCCTCTTTACACTGTGCTTAGATATTCACTTTCATTGTCCATAAAAGTGAAATTGTATTTTGAAAGACTGCTATTGAGTTGGTTATAAATTTTTAAACACACCTCTATCAATTTCTAGGTATTAAGACTTAATAGTACCAAGAAAAGGATACACTAGTATTTGCAATTGCGTAAAGTAACACTTCACAGCTTCTTGCTTTAAAAAGGTAAAAGTAATGTTTTCAAACAGGTGCTTAAAGTTAAGCAGTTTTAAACTAAAAGTTGAAAGCATGTAATTGAAATTGCTTTACACTTTTCTATTACATGAAAAATGCTTATTCATTAGGCACTCTAACTGTTACTTCTTTAAATCAGTTTCTTTTCTAGCACTACCAACTCTTACTATTAATCGCTACTCACATAATCTAAAGGAAATCACTTTGCAAGAGTAGAAGCAAGCTAAAACACCCCATTAAATGTATGAGGGAGCAACGTTTAATCATTTTATTATATTATCACACAGAGTACTTAAATATATTGGCTTTCTAAATTGACAAAATAATGTGGACGAAGTGTCTTTTGTTAGTGGGAGAAGTTATTTATGAACAGGTAGTGGACATTTTCCAAATAACAAGCACGACAATGCAATTTCTTAAAAACAGCCAAAGCTGCTCCACATAAACCTAGTTGTAGACCACTTCAGAGTATGCTACGGAGTATATTATATCTATCATAAACAACAAATCATTTTAGAATAAAATATCAAAATCAAAACAACCAAGCAGTCTGTGTTCATATATGTAATGTAAAGAGTGAAAATGAGGGAGATATACTCAGCGGGAGAAGCCATCGCGGATCCGTTGATCGATTAAATTTCTGGAGCTCTGCAAATTTTAAAAAAAAAACTACACAAGAAATATATATTCGTATATATTTATATACGGAGTATATGTTGCTTAATTAAGTTTTATTCCGGAATTTTCTTTCGGAAGGAAGGATAAATACGGAGTAATGATAGAAATAATACGGAGGCATAAATAAATAAATAAATAAATAAAATAAAAGGGGAGAATCGGTGAGTTGTTCGGACCAATGGAAGCTCAGCCTATGCGGGAACCGAACCTTGGTTGTCGTCAGCCCCGCGTAAGCCGCGTGAATTACTTTTTTGTTGGAGTAAGGAGTAAGGAATAAGGATGTTTTGTAAGGATGTTTTGTAGATTATTTTCGGTAAATCAGATCAGTTCAGGCCAGATTTAAACAAGTTATATTTGGCGGACATAAATCTCTGTATTCTAGCTTTTGTACTATTTAAAAAGTCTTTAAAAGCTTCTGGTTGTATGTTTGACATTCCAATTCTTAAGAGCTTTTACAAAAATAAAAGATCTTTTTTGAGATGCTGCAGTGAGTAGCATCTCAGATAAGTCTGTAGCTTCTACCATTAATTAGTCTCTCAGCTTGTATACCAAACAGAGCTAAATTAAACTGTCAGCTTTATATCAAACAACTACTACCTTTTTGTTTTAAGATCTTTCCGGTCACTGAAAGCTAGCCGTTACTAAAAAGTTTATAAAAGTGTTTTTTCAGCTAGTTATGTCAAACATACCCTAATACTTTTTGTCTTTCTCTTTTTTCCTTTTCATCACGAGTTGATGCACCAAATTCTCAATGATATATAAATTTGGCGCATGAATTCCCGAAGTTTAAAAAATGAGTCTAACTCCTTTGAGAGTTTGAGTTATACTCCCTACGTCCCTTAAAACTTTGCCAAGTTTGACTGGCACGAGGATTAATAAAATAAAAACTGCGTGGTAGAGGTTTGTACATATGAGAGAGAATTAACTGGCATTAAAAATCTTTACTTAAAATGAAAAGTGGCAAAGTTAGTGGGACATCCAAAAAGGAAAAGTTGGCAAAATTTTAAGGGACAGAGAGAGTTACTATTTATGTACAAAATCCTCTTCAAGAACAAATTTGAGAAAGAATTTTTTAAATGAGACTAAAATATAGTAGAAGTGCACATGTATGACATTAACTTTATTATTCCCTAAATAGGACTCTTAATTATTGATTAGACAATATTGTCCTTAGTGAAATCATCATGTGATCTGTAGACCTCCCGTTACTCTGTTGCAATGATGCCTTACATCGAGACCTCCACATTGCCACCACTTAATGATCCTATGGATGTGTCGACATCATCTAAGGACGACAACGGGGCGGGTTTGGGGCGGGGGTTCACTCCCTCATCCCCCGCCCCATGTCTAAAAAGTTCTCCTCATCCCCACCCCATCCTCCGTTACTTTCAGACCCGCCTCGTCCCCGCCCCACCCCGTTGTCCCCCACGAGTGCCCGCAGGTGCTCCCATATAAATTTTTTTTATCTTGTGTACATAATTTTAATCTATTATACTCTTTTTGTTGCTCAATTAAGTTCCGAGTTTGACTTTTACGGTCTTCGAGGTGGACGATTGACCCTAAATATCTAAAAAACTTCTTATAAAATCTAATACTCCGTATAAATTAATATTTGAATACTATACATTTCAAAGAAGTATATAAAATTAAATCTGATCCAAAAAGTGCAACTAGAAACTTAATTGTGCGACAGAGGAACTATATGTGTATGTATGTGTCACACTTGAAAAGTTTTTTTGGAAGAAGGTGGCTTGTATTAATAAGAGTGAACGTAAGCATGTAACAAACAGACAAAGAACCTCTTGTCTGTCGTCTGCCCTTGAACCAGACTTAGAATCTGCCACCTCAAAAGAAGCAACCAGATTCGTTGATCCTGAATTGGGCATACCCGAGCCAATGACTGGTAAACTAAGCTCTTCTCCACCTGTCTTATGTTCTAGAGTTTTGACAAAAATAAAAACAAAAGCAAACAGAAAAACACACTGTCTGAAAGGGAAAACAACTGAAACAAAAATAAGTCTAAAATAAAAAATAGCTGCAATCTGCCAAGAGCATATGATCTTCACAGATAGTGGCGGGTCTGGGTATTCTAGCCCGCCTCGTCCCTGTTTTTTGATTCATCTAAAGCCATGCCATCCTCCTCTAAGTGCTCCTGTTCTTGCTCCTTCCCGCCCAAGGTCTGTCTCCTTTTCTGTTCCCCCTTGCCACTGCTAAGAGCCCCTGCATCCTCAAGTGCTGCCTCCGCGTCCCTATCGTGTAACTTTCCCTTCTTGTGACTCAGCCCTGTCCCTGCACCTCCGTGGAGACACTTTGTCTACCTGTTTGGTCTCTCCTCATTCCTCCTTCACTAACCAGCCACTGACTACCACTGGAAGGGCGGGTCCTCCCTCCTCTCGCCCTTAGCCAAGGACCAAATGATTTTACACCCGCTTTCTCCCTAAATTCGTACACTAGAGGACAAAACTTCTCAGCGTGTCCAATTATACCACATGCAAAGCAGAAACTAGGTAACTTCTCATACCTAAAATCTACCCAATAGCCCCCCCCCCACTTTTTTTCATAGTAATTCCCACCTTTAGGGGCTTTTTCACATGTAACAGAACATGCACCCTCATATAGGCTTCTTTTTTCTCAGCAAATTGATTATCATCCCAAGAAACATAACTACCCAAATTGTTCCCAATCTTACGAGCATAACCCAAATTCGAAAAGCCATACGGGATGTTGTGAACCTGAACCCAAAATTCGGCTGTATCCAGAGGAACTTTCAAGGGCATGTCCCCTAATTTAATAGCTTTTAATACTATCAGGTTCTGATCAAACAAGCATGGACCGTCATTCAACACACGATTCATATCTATAACGTGGTAAAAAGTAAGCAGATACCCTTTTTCCCCGATATCTTGGATGAGCACACCTTTACCTGGATGCCACAACGACGCCATGAAGTCTCGGAAGACCGAGAATTCGACCGCCTTATCCGTGAGGACTCTGCCTACCACTGGATAAGTCTCCGCTCCTTTCTCCGTCACCTCACCATCGGATTTGCATTTGCCCTCTTCGTCGTCGTCTAGCAGTAGCTCCTCCCCCAAATTGTCCAACCCCATTCCGTTTATTCTCCCAGTCAGCTTTTCCACTGTCCTGAAGCCATCCGCTATGGACGATTCACCTTCGTCCTCCTGGAAGCCACCTGCCGAGCTCGAAGATATTCGGCCTCGCATCTGATCTTGTCGCAATATCCCCAGGACGGATGCGCTTTTCTGTATAAAAAACTCCTTGCTTCCCTCTCGTTCACCGTTGATCGCCATCCGATCGAGCCCCACACAAAATCGGCGGAAAAACGAAACCCTACTTCAGAGGGTAAGGTCGCTTCAGATTTCACGTAGAAACCATGTCGCACTTGAAAAGTTAAACTAGCGGATAATATTGTGTTTGATAAAAGTTATTACCGTCAATTTTTAATAATTCTTTGATTTGAATAAGTTATGTGAAGACAATAAAAGTAAAAATATAATTAAACATATTCTTCCAAATTTCTCATCAAATATAATACAATTAATTATATATATTATACATGTGTGTGCATTTTTTTAATTACTCACTTTCTCACTTTTAAAAATCATATAACATCTATGATAAATATTTTTAGTCATTACTTATTATTATGATATAATATGTATTAATTCATTAACCATGGCTAAAACATGTGTCTTTCTTTTGTACAACATATAACTTAATTAAATATATTTATACATTATGTATGTATGTATGTATGTATGTATGTATATGTATGCATGTGTGTATATATGTTTGAGTGTATATTTATAAAGGGGACGGGGCGGGGACGAGGCGGGTGTAGCAATCCCCGTCCCCCCGCCCCATATTTTAGCGGGGTAAAGTATCTCACCCATCCCCACCCCTTCCTTACCCCAAGCCCCGCCCCATCCTTTCCCCGCGGGACGGTTCCCCACGGGTCCCCGCCCTCATTGTCATCCTTATTCGTCGCAACTATCTCCCTTGGAGAGTATGTTAAAAATTTGTAGTGGGATTTCCATGATAAAAAAAGAATGGCAAAAACATGACATTACTAGATTCGATGCAAAAATATGTCATTTTCATATTTAAGCATGACGTTTTTTATTTAAAATTATGACATTTTTATATGAAATTATGACATGAAGGTATACATTCATGGCATTTTAAAATCGAAAAAGTAAATTTTGAGATGAAAAAGAAAAATAGAGAGTAATATTGTCATTAAAAAGAATGGCATTATTTGTTAAAAACATGACATTTTCAAAGATGTAATATTGCCTTCTTAAAAAAATGCCATAATGTGGCATTATTTTACAAGTTAATAAAAATACATATATCCTGCAACTCAAATCCTTAAAATTTGGAATTGCTATGGTTGGAGCCTCTAATTTTCATATCCAATGTTTACAATCCAATTTTTTTCAAACAAAAAGTTGCATATTTATTTAGAATCTGTTTTCACCAATCAAACAACATAATAGAGAAGAAAACACATATGACATGGCTAGTATGCAACTATTCTTTGATACTTAGGGTTTACGTAAGTTAGCTTCCTTTTAATTATAGACAATGATGTCTAACTTACGTATTACAAAGGTGTTAATGGGCTGAAATACACCTGTAGCCCATATTAAACATCTAAACTGATAGTTACACAAATACAAAGATATTTAACAAGATTGGACACCATAAAATGCTCGGGGAAAGTAAATAGAAATATAACAAATGCAAGATGCATAGAAAATAGAAGAGAAGAGAAGGGAAGGGAAGGGAAGGGAAGAGGAGAGAAGAGAAGAAAGAGGTTTCTTGTGCAGACATGCCCACCATTGTAGATCGAGGTGTGCAGAAGAAGCTATCGATGACAGCTGATTTTGGCAATGATCGAAGTGACAGAGATGGTGGACAAGAGGGGGGAGAGGGGGAGAGGGTGGGAGGGAGGGGGGGGTGGGAGAGAGAGAGGGAGAGAGGGAGAGTCAATCGAGAAGAGCGTAGAGATGCCGAACAGATTTAAAGTTGTATTATATTAGGGGTAAAAAGACAATGTGGAGCCCCATTTAGGGAATTTAAAACATTAAGTCCTATTTTGGAAATTTAGTAAAAAAAAGTCCTATTTTCGAAGAATGACTATGTTTTAGTCCTAATTACGTCAATTTCTTCAAATTCAATTGCCATATAAATGGAAAATGATTAGTATTTTGCATAATTTAGAAACATTGACAAATTTACTTGCAGGTTCACTTATAACATTGGGAGATATATTTTTCAAATTGTTAAATTTGTTCTTGGATGGAGTTTTGCACATGAATGATTATAATATATGAGAGTTGGACACATTTTTCGAAACACAGAGAGTTAATGCGCTGATTTTATATATTACACGAGGTTTTGGTGCATTAAACTCTTCTCATCACAAATTTTAGTCTGTTTTGGAACCCAAATTTTCACCGTATATGCCAACTTTTTATCAAACACGTAACTATTGATTTAACAGGTTGAATTTTGTAATAGTCAAAATAAATAAGGTCGAAATTACTTTTCTGGCTGAATTGATTGAAGTACTGTAAATGATCATTTTAGTTTTCTTTTCGTACATTTTTTTATTTATTTTATTAATAAACTAAATAGTATATTTTAAATATATTTTTCTCACAATAATTATTCACAAAACAGATTTGTGTAAATGAGAAACGTTCTGGGAGCTTCTCTCTCTAGGGTTACCATCCGGTAACGCCTAGGTCATCGTCCGCCGCAGCTTGCCTAGGCGGTCTCGGTCGCCGTTGGTTTTGTCGAGAGGAGTGCGGTTTTTTGTCCGAGCTCTTCGGAGTTTTGGTTTTGTGGATTTATTCTCGATTGTGGAGGCCGGTGGGATGATTCTCCTCTCGCAGGTTTATGTGAACGTTTTTTTCGGTTTAGGACGTCTTCGAGTTCAGGGGGCGGCAGCTTCGATACCATCCGTGTGGTTGAGGCGAGTTGAACCCGGGGAAGATGAGCATTATTATATGGAATCGTAAAGGGTTGGGCAATCTAGCAATGCTTCAGTGTTGATCGTGATGTCGAGGTTTGGAAGATGAAGTTTCGAGAAGTTTGGAGTATTTGTTTTTCAGTAATTTTTATTTCAGTTTTGCTGTTTGTTTTTGCTTTAGTATTCCTGATTGTAAGACGTTGGTTTTGGATATGAGGGATGAGAGGAATATGATGACCGTTTTTGGCTTTTGGATTCCCATTTATGGATCAACGAATTATATTGCTTCTTTGGAGGTGATTAATTCCGAGTCTGGTTCTCGGGATAACGGTTGTCAGATTTGTTTTTGTCATTTGGCCCATACTATGAATTATCTGTTATCAATATAAGCCGAATTCTTCCAAAAAAAAAAATTCTCACAATTCAGCATATTAAACCACTTTAGCCCGAATTTTATCAATTTCAACGGATTGAACCGATTGAATCTATTTTTATGGTACCAAATGGGTTCTTAATCACACAATACACACAACTAAAAATTAACAATGTCCAATAGTGTAAAGGTGATGGCGGTTAAACCTGAACAAACTGACTGAAATTGCTTAAGGGTGTGGATTACTCAGGCTCTGTTTGCAAATACAACTACAAAAGCATTTCCCATCTTTTGGCTTAAAAAACTAAAAAAGATATTTTCAAATGACAACTTCTACTTAAATGAATTACTTAAAAGCTAAAAGCTAGAATCTGCTTTTTACTTTTTCTATTACAAAAAAAAACACTTATTTTACCAAACACCAACTTTTACTTTTCAAAATCACTTTTTTCTCAAACACAACCAACTTTTACTATTAATCACTTTTTACCAAATCATTTAAAAAAGTTAAAAGCACTTCCCAATTGGGTTTGCAAACAGAGCCTTATTTTAACTATTTTACTTTGATAAAAGCAGTGTATTTTTTTTTTTTTGGAAAAAGAAAATAGAAAAAAAGAAGAGACGACAATGTGATTTATACTAGTTCGAGTACCTTAGTCTCCTACTCTAGCACGTGAAGGCACGCCCCTTCACGATTTCAGGATTCACTATCCTCCAGTCTTCTGTAGAAGTTGTTTTCTTCACCTGATTTGAATGTTTCTGATCTAAATTTTTTAAGTTCTGATCTGATTTGAATCTTTCTGATCTGATCTGAATCTTTCTCACCTGATTTGATCTGATCTGAATCTTTCTGATCTAATCTAATTTGAATCTTTCTGATCTGATCTGATCTGAATCTTTCTGATCTCATCTGATTGGAATATTTCTATAATTATAATTATAATTACAATTATTATAATTATTGTAATTAATTATATAATATAAATAAAATTATAATTATAAATCATAATTATAAAAATATAATAATAAGTAAAATTAAATTTAAATTATAATAATTATACCTATTACACTAATTATAACTATAGATACAATTACAATTGTAATTATATTTTTAGTTATAATTACTTATATAATTATAATTATAATTATAATTATAATTACCCTCTATAATAATAATAAATACAAAAACAATAATAAAAATAATAACACTAATAATAATTATAATTATAATATAAGAATAATATAATAAATGATAATAATATTAAAATATTATTATTGTTATTATTATTATTATCATATTATATTATTATTTTAGAATATTATATTATTATTATTATTGTTATTAAATAATAATAATATACTATTATAATAATTTTTATAATAATATTATATAATATTATAATTATTATTATCATTTTATAATAAATATTACTACCTCCGTCCCTTAAAACTTTGCCAAAGTTGACCGGCACAGAGAATAATAAAGTAAAAGCTGTGTGGTTGAGGTTTGTGCAGAGGAGAGAAAAAAAATAAACCACAAAATAATTGATTAAAAGGGAAAGTGACAAAGTTTTTTGGAACGTCCCAAAAAGGAAAAATGGCAAAGTTTTAAGGGACGGAGGGAGTATAATATTATTAATTTTATAATAATATTGTTATTACAATTTAATATTATTATAAAAATATTAGAATATTATTATTATTATTATTATTATTATTATTTAATAATAATATATTATTCTTAAATTATTATTATTATTACTATTACTATTATTATTAATGTATTATTATTAAATATAATATAATGATTATAATAATAATTATAATCAATGTAATAATAAAAGTGATAAATCATGTCTGAACTTTTCTGATCTGATCTGAATGTTCCTGATCTGAATCTTTCTGATCTGATCCGAATGCTTCTGATCTGATCTGATCTGAATTTTTCTGATCTAATATGAATAAAATAAGAATAAGCAATAAGTAATAAGCATAAGACCAAGAACTTCTTAATAGGCTCTCCTCAACCTAACAATTTTCAAGCACTCCTCAAAATAAAGAGTTACAGTCTTTCCTTTAACTTTAAGGATTCTGGAACATATCTTCTCAATCGTAAGGATTTAGGAACGGCTCTCCTCAACCGTATATAAAAGATGCTTTGCGTAGTCCCCTATGTCAAGTAGCATTGCCCGTGGGCTAACCTTGTCCTTATCTTTTACTAGTATTTCTTATCTTGGTTTTCTCATTATAATTTGCTCTTGTTTGTAGGCCGTAGTATTTTGGCTTGCTGGAGGTTGAACCGTATACGTAGTACGGAGTACATTTCTTCTTCAAGATCACCATTTAGAAAGGTATTATGAACATCAAGTTGTGGAATAGACTAGAAAACTGAAACAACAATAAAGAGTGAAGTTCTTATAGTAATAGGTTTAACAACCGAGGAAAGGTTTCACTGAAATCAAAACCATGTTGTTGATGAAATTCTTTTGCTACTAAACGAGCTTTGGATTTATTAATAGAGAGCCATCATGATTATCTTTCAATAAAAAAACCCATTTGCATCCAATAATAGGTTTTTCAGGTGGTATAGGAGCATGAAACCAAGCCCTATTAGAAATTAAAGCTGTCATTGTATAAATTTATACCAGTCACGTGAACTGAGTGCTTGCTTGACTGAATTTGGCTCAATACAAGCTAAGAGCAAGTCAGGATTAGGGGATTGCATAGATTTATACCAGTTAGGACCGCCTGGAACTCCTGTACGACCAATTCCATTTGGGGTCCTACTTAGGTGATTTTTTTGATGAAGTTTTTAGCATGTTCTTCATGAGGTGTATATTATGTCAACTAAATTTCAGCTTAAAATTTAACCAGGAAGATAGTTAAAAAATTATTGAAACATGTGAATAAAAAGCAGTATGTTTTAATAATTGTTTTAAATTGAGATTTTGGTGGATATAATAATCTACACTCTATTAAAAGCATCTCAAAAAATTTTATAAAAAAATTCATCGGGAAGAGCCCCAATTGATCTCCTTCGTACAAGGGTTTGGTACGGGTCACATGAGGAGATCAATTGTCTTTTTCAAATCATGGAAATATGTTTCAAAAATCATATAAAAATGATGCTTGTACCCACCTTTATACCCATTTTTCTATCCATCATGTCTACGAAAAGTTTTTTTGTTTGTGCAAATTTGCACAGACAAAATAAGACATACTTCGTATATTGTCAGTAAACGGGATTTAGAGACCAAAAAACTTTCACAAGGGTTGATACAATCACAAATTCACAATAGCTGAAGATCATATTCCCATCGGTCCATTTCCTGTCTAGAATTTGACTTGCTACTCTCTCAAATCAGGTTAGTAATAATTCATTAATTTTTTGCAACAGTTTTTTGTGTTGATTTTTTTTCAAGGAAATAACTAAATTTTGAAAACTATTAAAGGAAAGTTAGTCAAAATCGAAGTATACATTTATCTGTTTAAAATAAATACAAATATATAACTAAAAATAAAACATTGAACAAAAATATGGCTTTATATAAATAAATAATTATTACGTACGAAGTATCAAATTTAATTTAGGTTGTATTTTTCTTTTAAAAAAAAAAATTTAAGTTCTATTTTTACGGTCCATCAAGCAATAGGACGCATATATTATAGAATGGACCTGTATTTTTGGGTGGGCTACCCGCTACCTTCGTTAATTATTAACGAGTATATATTCAGTTGCTCACTAAAATGAACATCACATTCAGACACACTAGCTGCTTCGAATATCCAGCACAAAAATTATAACCGGAAAGCGTCTCACCGGAAAATTCCCAAGATGTCGTGGCAAACATATGTCGACGATCACTTGATGTGCGACATTGAGGGCAACAAACTACAATCTGCCGCTATCATCGGTCACGACGGTTCCGTCTGGGCCCAGAGCGACAAGTTTCCACAGGTCTTTTACTCCGTTTAATGAAAGCTGGTTTAAATATCTATGGTGGTTACAGATCTTATTAGATCGGAACTTATACGCTGATCGGTTGGAAACTCCGATCCATGATTGCATATTGTTGAGCCCTAAGAATTTGGCTTTTTTGTTTGTTTTGTTTTTGATCGAATGGAAGGATCAGGTCGTTTGGTTTAAGTGTTTGTCTCCTGGAAATTGCTACAAGATTTTTTATTTGTATTAAGGGTTTCCCTTATCGTTCTGAATCTTTTATTGCGATTATAGTTACTGGATGGTCCAGATCCCAGGTTAATGATCGGTAAGAAATCGCTGGTTTACAAATTTGAGGATTTCTTAAATTTGATTTGAAATATTTCCTTAATGTTTACTCTGGTATTTCATAATTGAGTACCTCTATTGATCTAGATTATTAGATCGCTTTGAGAAAGGTCAAACCCTTATACTTTGAAACTCTTGTAGCCAAAACATTTTGATTAGCTTCTAGTATTAAAGCTCCTAATCTTCGTTCAAAGTACAATTTATATTTCATATGGACTGTCTTCTTGTTCTTTTCTTATTGTTTTTCTCTATTTTTGTTTTATGTTAACACGCAGACAACAAGTACAACACTGTCTTCATATTCTTTTCTCCCTCTTTCTATTTTGTGTTCTATTTTAACAAATTGAAACTCGTATAATTCTCCAAATCAAATTGAATGGTTTTAAATTTATAAATGACAAGGTTTGAATTTTAATTTCTTTTCTTCTTCTTCTTCTTCTTCTTTTTATGCATGTATGACCAATATATGTTTGTGTGGCCTGCTAAAACAAGTTCTTTCACAATGTAAATTTATGACACTTCAACTACACCTTTATAAATGCTTAAGATTTTTAAATCATGTGCTTAACATCATAAGTTTACATTTTTGAATAAAGAAATACATATTGATGGTGCTAACATAACTTTTTATGTAAAGATCGGGGTATATATATTACATATGTGAGTTTGGGGTGCTGACCTCACACCCCTTCAAAGTTTGAGGTATTTAAATTATTCTATCCTAATTACTTCATCGCAGTTAGGGAATTCTCAAGGTTGGATTCTAACTTCTAATTTAACCATTAGCTTGCCCAATCCACTATATTTTAAAATCTTTTAACATCTTCCACTGTTTAACATCACAAATTCTGAAAATTATTTTATTATTATTCTTTTATAAAAAAGTTTTTATTTCTCACTTGTTCTTCATTTCTTTCGCTATCATTGGCTGATGGTGATTCCATCATTTCCAATGGAGCCAAAGACTCACTATTTGTTGGCTTGGGAATATGATGGGATAAAACAAATGGCTCACTAAATTGTTTGCGCTTCTTTGTTATGAAGCAGTGGTTAGTCCATGCAATTTTTGATGCGATTTTCATCATGAGTCATTTAGAAACGGTCTCTTTGGGCTTTAGTATAGGGTTAAGGATGGGTTCATTCGACCCCCCTTACCTACCATAGGTGGGTGATACAGCCCTAAGCTGGAGAGAGTAATAATATTAGTAATAGAAAGAGACTCCATATGAAATAATTGTGGTACTGTAAAAATAAGGGTTCTGGTCCATGTAAGTCATGGGTTTGGGCCGGCCCTTTAGAATTGTATTAGTATAAGAGTAAGATGAAGGAAAGAAGGAGGTAGGCAGAATTTCAGTTGGAATTAGGTTGAGAGAGTGAGACCTCTTGAAGAGTCTCGACCTGTTCTTGTTCTTCTTGTACGCTGGTTTATGGCTTCCTCCATTGTCGTCTGCTTAAGGAATTTACTGAGCTAATCTCTAAATTCCATACTCAGTCTACATAAATTCTCCTATTGCTTATCTGGATTTTGGGGTTCTCTGTCAGTAGGGGAGCCTGGTGTATCCTTTGCGGTACTGGGATAATGTTGTTGTTGTTATTGTCATTGGCTGCAGGTGGGGCAATGATACTTGTGCTTTGTAAAAGTTTTTTATTTTTTCTCTTAAGAAGAGTTGTTAGTTTGTCACACGTATTTTCACTTTATTATTTATTATGCTCCTTAGGGTATAAATTAATTATGTATGCAGAGGAAATGTCTAAATCACATTCTAAGAGTCGGAGTTTAAGGGAAAACTAAAAGTTTGTATCCATAGACTTCTTTTTTATGAGAATGACAAGGAGAAAATATTGGGTTTTATAATGATCATAGTGAATATGTTGATGATATAAATTTGGATGAGAAAAGAAGCTCTTTTGACATGGACTATGATGAGTATCCCTTTTTTTGAGAAAGCTTTGCTTCGTTTAGCGCTTTCTCATATAAATCCCAACTTCATTGCTTTTGTGCTCTTTTCACTTTAAAAAAAATACTTGGTAATGAAATGAAAATTGTGGTTCAAATTTGGCAATATTTAAAAGATTTTAGCTAAACTGTGTATGGCCAGTTGGCCACAATAGGTGAGAATTATTTCTGGTTACCTTGAATTCAAACCCAAAATGGAGTGCTTTAAAACATAAAAACATAATCTATCATTTTATTCTCATTCCCCAGACTTTCCTACCAATCACTTAAGTTGCAAAAGAAGTGTGAAGTTTTTGAAGGACTGAAGGATTTTAGTTTACCACAAATTTAAGCTGTTTTACTATCCTGGAAAATGCATAGATCATTTTTTAATGCGTTACTACTTGGCGTAAGCCAATTTTATGTGAGGTTTATTATTTTTGTGTAGGTTTAAAATTGTCTAGAATTCTATCTTCATTTCAAATAATTTAAAATGCATGACTATGGATGTTTTTACTTGGACTGTAATTTGCTGGTCTGATCTGGTCTGGTTTGGTTTCTTTGTATTTTTATAACTATCCAAGTCTGGTCTGATTTGGTCTGATCTGGTCTGGGACAGATTACAGTCCAAGTAAAAACATCCTATATTTTGGAAAACTATTGCAAAGGTTTGGTAACTTTGGTACATCCAGAATGGGTGAAAGATGAGATGAAAGATTTCTTAAATGCATATATGAAGTCATAGAGGTATGTGCATGTAAGTATGTAACCAAGTACTAGAGTAAGGAAATGGCATCAAGTTCACTCGATAGTTGACTGTATACATATTTTTTGTAACAATGTGCAGGTTACTATTTGCCCTCGACCCTTGTATTCTAGGTAACTCTAAGTTATGGAACATACGGTGTAGAAATAAGACCACTATCCAGTTTTTCCTTGATGAAGTGTCGGTCTATTTCTATGTGTTTTGTTCTATCATGCTGGACTGGATTATGAGCTATACTAATAGCAGATTTATTATCACTTAAGAGTCTCATAGGAGCTTTAAATGATATTTTCAAATCTCCTAATATGTTCTCCATCCATAATAATTCACAGGTCCCAGGATCAGAACCTGGCTCTGATACCAACTTGAAGAATAGAGTTTTATTGATTAATTGTAAATACAACAACTAAATACAATTTATAGGCCTAGGCTAACTTAATAAAGGAGTATTTCAAGTTAAATAATTTGTTGTTTTCTAGTATAGCACACTTAATTTATACTGAGTGTTTCACATGCCTTACTGTTGCTGAAGTGGCGAACTATTATCAATCACCTCCGTGGTTTATATCGACAGTTCAAACCAGAAGAAATTACTGCCATCATGAATGATTTTAAGGAACCTGGCTCTCTTGCTCCAAATGGATTGCTCCTAGGTGGCTCAAAATATATGGTGATTCAAGGTGAGGCACATGCTGTTATTCGAGGAAAAAAGGTATGATCTTAATCCTATATTCTATTTGTAGTAGCAAATTGGAATATAAAAGCTACTAAACTAACAATGGAATGTAATGTGGACACCAGAATATGTGTTTTTGGTTTCTGAATAAATCACCAAGCCACTGTGATGCAAAGTGCCGGATCAAAGTGGGGATCTTGAGATCTGCTTATGATGTAACCAGCATACCATCTGACCAAACTCCATTAATAAGCGCCCACCCAATAAAAAAGATTTTGTATAAATAGTGATTTATCATTGTCTATTATTTAGGTCTACGTATTTGGGAATTGATCGGATTTTTGATTGACTCGTGTAAATTAAATTCTGAGTTATATACGTATATCTGACCACTAGACTAGTGTGTAGACATCCTCAACTTATTAACTCTTTTTTAGAGTAAAGTTTGTAGGGATAATGATTAGTGTATTAGAAGTGGAAAAGCACTAGAGAAAAGAAGAAAACATAAGAAAAATTGGTGAGTACAAATGAAAAAGTAAATGCGAAGTGGAACAAGTATTAAGAACTTCTCTAAGAAGAAAGTGGAGCAACTTTTTGGTTCCACACTTTCCACCACAGCACCACATCCCCGTTCATTTCCAATACTTATCGTGGGGTAGCTATAAAATCTATTTGTGTCAATCGAGTAGGCAATTTTGGATTACATCCTCGGGATTGAGGTTGTTGTACTCCCTTTTAACTAGGATCGGGATCGGGATGATCCCGATTGCCCAAATCCCGATCCCGTCCCGATCCCGATTCAAACTACAAGAGGATCCCGTATCCTGTCCCGATTAAGTCGGGATCCCGACATTAAAACTCGATTAAGTCGGGATCCCGATCGGGAATCCCGGTTAATCCCGCTAAATTCCGACAATGAAGTATCAAACATAAAATTATGTAATTTCTTTAGGTAAACACTAACTTTGATATTTAGTGGTTTCAAGATTATTTTTTGTTCATTGTTATACCACATTTATCATCATCTACTTATAAAATTTATTGTAATAATTATCATCTCAAATTCACACTAGTACATACTTTTAGAATAATTTTTATTTGTAACTTCAATTAATTAATAGTATAATTTTTGAATAAGCAATCAAGGCTTAGTGAAACTTACTTCAAACATTATATAAAAATCACTAAAAGAAGGATGTGTAACATATATTATTTAAAATTCAAAACTAAGTAGACTCAATGAGAAACTTTGTGACCAATGAATATAATGTATAAATAAATATTATGATTATTTACTAAAGAAAGAAATCTTAGTCTCGATTATGATTTTTTAAAGAGTTCATCAGAACCGCAAAATTTGTAATATTGTTGTGATTTAGATTGTCGGGATCAAGAATAATCTCTATTTAGTTAGGATCCCGAATATTCATTTTTGGACAAATGCTGAATAGTTTTAGAAGTTTGATATTGTAAGATACTCGTTGTAAAAGATTAATCTATATAAGGAATAAGTAATTAATAAAGATATGCAAATATTTAGATACATATTCATTTTTTATAAATGTATATTCCTTTTTTATATTTCATATATATATATACATGTGTATATATATTTATATTTATATATACATATATAATGTCGGGATGTCGGGATTTTCCCGATCCTGACTTTTAAAAAAAAAATCCCGGTCCCGTCCCGACTAGTCGGGATCGGGATTGGGAGTCGGGAATTTTTTCCCAGCCCTACTTTTAACCATTTTTGCTCGTAATTTTCAAAAACAGATGGTTGAGAAATAACCCAACCCTTAGTAGGGTACCAAAGAACATGTGTATTTACAAGTCTTGGTTACAATTGGCTATTACAGTTTAGTAGCTAAGCGGCTGGCTAATGTCACAAATTCACCAGACCTTGCCTATCAAGAACAGTAGCAAGACGAATGGAGGGCACTCACGAGAAAGGGATAAGTGGAGGCCATCCGATTGATGAAAACAAGTTAACAACCCTATAAGAAAGGGAATGGGGCAGCCGCTCGGAACAATGACTATAACTCGTATGGTGAATTGGACCGGAACTTTTCAACAGCAAGAGAAAGATCCTCGGCCTAAAGGAAGCAAGGTGAGGATAGAAGAAGGAAACCTGCATCGTTTTGTATGAGATTCCTTCACACCTCGCAGTGCTTACACCTCTCGCCTATCTGAAAGAAGTTTTTGTTCTACAAGCAGAGATTTCAAAGAGAGTGCCGAAGATCTCATTATGACTAGATGATTTTACTCTCCGGTTTAGGGAAAAACACATCTAGTAAAATAACCCATTTTCTTACTCTTATTTAGTGAAATTTCTTTAAATACTATTGGAGAAACGTGCCCTTAATGTCTAATTCATAGATCTTTCCCTGGAGGTGCAGTGATGTAGCCTCTTTCCCGCTTGCAGGGGTCGCAAGTTTAAGTCCTAGAAAACACAATCTATGCACCACTTTCACAGGTGCCCGTGTGGTCACTAATCGATGCACCCACTTTCGCAAAAGTCCTTTACAGCCTCCTTGATTGGCTCTTGTAAATATGGCATTACCTTTCTTAAACTGGCATAATATCCCTTATTCGAGGAAATAAGGTATTGTGTGATTCTTTATAGAAAGAATGAGACAAATAATACTCCTCGGATTGCTATGGACATAAATAGGACTAAGTTTTTAGATAGACAAAAATCTGACTACCGTGAGTATGAATAACCTCAAATGCCCCTGACCCATTTAATCATCTGCTCTCACCGTCTGTCCGTCTCACACAAACATCTCCTCCTCAAGTGGACCACAGTCTCCATGCCAACATCGACCCACCAGACTGAGCCGCCCGTCGCCTCCGTCGGCTAACCTCTTCTTCTTCTCCTTTCTTTCTCACAGACCATTGTTCTCGAAGATTAGATCTGAACGATCGCTGCTCGATGTGGAGCATCTGGCCAACATCGGTCTTCTTCTTCGACAGAATGATCATGTCATCCTCCAAGCTGAAGTCGCCGTTGATTTGCCTATGACATTTACTGGAGGCGGCCGGCCGGCTACACGTTGGTGGAGATAATGGAGGCTAGGGTGTGGAGCAGTGGACCTTCGGGATACTGGGATACTGTATATGCGCACATGGGTAGAGGGAAATAGGGATACGAATTGGGGAATGGGACGGGCTGGGGTGGGACCAGGGGACAAAGGCAAGCGGCTGGGTAGGGGAGGGGGTGATGGGGTTGGTGCACATGCATGTATTGCAATGAGGGTTAGGGTAGGGGCACAATCAGTGGTTTGGGGTAGTAGTCTGGAATGGAATTACAGATTGTAGGTGGGAAGGGGTGTCGACAGAGTGTCGCCGGAGGTGGTCGTCACTTGCTAGCGGTGGCGGAGGTGTTTGTCGGCGGTGGTGGCCGGAGGTGGTGGCCGGTTGTGGTCATTGGTGACCATAAATGATTGGACCGGGTAATTGTAATTGATCGGTGTTTGATAATTGTAACGAGTCAAATCGGGCAACTGTAATTGACGGGTCGGGTAACTGACGAATCGGGTAACTGGAACTGAACGGGTTAAATAATTGTAATTGGTGGGTTGGGTAACTGTAACTAACGAGTCAGGTAACTGCAACTGACGAGTTAAGTAATGTAACTGGTCGGGTAATTGATCATTATACTGTTAGTCATTGTGGTCACTATGACAGTGGTCACTGGGACAGTGGTCACTGGGGCGGTAGTAAATGAGACGGTGGTCATTGGAGCTGTAGTAATTGGGACAGTGGTCACTTGAGCGGTATTAACCGAGACGGTGGTCTCTGAAGTGATATTAATTGGGATGGTAGTCACTAGAGTAGTAGTATCCGGGACGTTTTTTAAACAGCTATTAGTGTAATATTTTAAATAGTTAAGAACCCAATGTTTCCATATCCAAAGAACTATCTTGAGTGAAGTGAAGTGATGTGGTAAGTAGTGCAACATTGCAATTTTACGGAGTAAAGATGCGGGTGTAGTGTTGACTGTTGAACACTTGAGAAGGGTAATTTAGAAAAGTAGGAGTTTATTAGTTACATTTTTGGAAGTTAAAAATAGAGGTCTCTTTTTTGTCAACTACCTTATATTCTGCTAGTAGGAAATATAGACCTATACCTATAAAAAGAACAATGTGATTTTTCATTCTAATTATGTCTTGCTTATGTCTTGGGGTGGAATAACTTCAAGTAGCACTGAAAGATGCAATGGGAACGTGAAATGCGTGAAACGATTTTTTTTACAAAATACTACCTCCGTCCAGTTCAGAGGTTCCCATTGTAAAAATGAGGTAGTTATTTAGATAATATTTAAATATGGTAATTCGAGTATATTTTGAGAATAATTTTGATGGTTATATAATATAATGAAGTCATTGATGATAACTGTGATATTATAGATGTATTATCTGTAATACTTGATGATTTATTTATCATTTAAGAGTATTAATTATTTTCTAAAATAGAAATGAGAACCTTTAAACTGGATGTCCCATAAAGAGAAGTGAGAACCTTAGAATGAGATAGAGTATATGATACTCTAAAGAATTTGTGCCGCTTATAGTCCCGTGGATTTACATAGCCCACTAGAGAATTCTTGTTTGTCAAATAAAAGAATTATTTATCCTCAAAAAAGTTCATTGCTTTATACTCCGTACTTGTTTACTGCAATTTTTTGGTGTTGACATATGTAAATCGTTTATCCAGGGTCCTGGTGGTATATGTATCAAAAAGACAGGACAGTCCATACTCATTGGGATATATGATGAGCCAATGACCCCAGGCCAGTGCAACATGGTTGTTGAAAAGATTGGCGATTACTTGCTCGAACAGGGCTTTTAGCTATTCAGGCAGGTACTCTCAAGTGTGTGTGTAAATACACACACACACATCACCAGACTGTATGATATATCTATCTATATATAAGGCACATATCGCCGATCTTCACATCACTGACTGCCTTTTACTTGTTGCAGTGGTATTTTCACCTAAAGTGTCAAAGCGTAAGGTTTCTTGTTCTGGTGGCACGTAGCGAACTAGTGGTAAATGCAGTTTATGCCCCCCTCCGGTTTCAACAGCATTATCTTTGTGCCTTTTACCCTTCGACTCAATGTTTCTGTTTGAGGATGTGTGATGAATGTTATGATTTTGTCTCTTTTTGTTGGATGGTTTTGTCTCTTTTTGTTGGATGTGTGATGAACGTTATGGTTTTGACTCTTTTTTCTCTGGTATTGGATGCCTGATTTGAAGGCTGTGCTTTAAAATGTGATATTGTATAATGTAATTTTCAGTGATTTGTAACTTATGAAAACGTTATGTGAGATTGCGAGGTAGCTTGGCAAAGAGAAATCAAATATTCCCACATCCTTGAAATTTGCCATTTGATCTGCACATAGAATAATAAAACAATAACTTTGTGGTTAATGTTTGTGACTTTGTGCTGGGAGAGGGTAAAATAATGGTAACCACATTCTTTTTGCATGTAAAGAAACAAACAAGGAGAAAGACATTTGTACACAGAGTTACACTCTTTGTACACACTATAAATAACCTCCTTTTTATATTTGGTTTTAAGATTGGGCTTCGGAGTTCGGACTGCCCATAGTCCACCCAAGTAGGGGTGGACTGAATTGGGATGGGATGGGTCGGGCCTCGGGCCGGCTGAACTTCTGGACTAAGAAATTCAGACCCGGTACTGGGCCCCGGATTGGGCCCAAACGGTATTGGGCTGGGCTTAAGCCTGTTTAATTAAAAAAAGTTGTTTTTTTAAATACCCTTTGAGCCCGGTTGCGGTCTTGCGGAACCGTCCCAAAAATTCAAGCCCAAAGCATGTCTCTAATATATGTCAGGCCGGGTATCGGGCTTGGTACCAGTCTCGGCTAATTGGGCTCTGCCCGGCCCATCCCTTGAACTCCATATACATTCCCTTGAAGTAGGCTTGGACCCGGTTCGGGCCGCCCGGCCCGGCCGCTACTGTGCGGGACCGGGACCGGGACCGGCCCGGGTTCTCGGGTCCGGTTCCGAGTCGAGCCTAGGCCCGGTGGGGGGCGGGTCCGGGTCTTATATTTGGCGAACCGGCCTGGCCGGGTCGGGCCCGAGCAAAATTGTTTTTTTTTTTGGGGGGGGGGGGGGGGTTCCACCCGGGTTGGGCTTGATGGTAAGGACTTAGGAGGGGTTTGGGGGGGTGGGGGGAGTGAGGGGGGGGGGGGGTTAGGAAAGCAATATATATATATATATATATATATATATATATATATATATATATATATATATATATATATATATATATATATATATATATATATATATATATATATATATATATATATATATATATAGAATTTTATTCATGTCCGGAATTCCGGACAGGAACCGCCGTCCGGACGGTGGCGTTTGGCCTCCTTCCCGGTGACATTTTTTTATGAAATTTTTATGACATGTTCTCCATCAAGTCTAGTTTATCCACAAAAAAATTCAACCAAAAACTCAATCGGGAAGGTTGTCAAATGATTTTTTCAAGTTAACTCGTCCGGAATATGTATTTTCCGGACCAGTTAACTTGCAAAAATCATTTGACGACCTTCCCGAATGAGTTTTTGGCTGAATTTTTTTGTGGATAAACTAGACTTGATGAAGAACATGTCATAAAAATTTCATCAAAAAATTCCACCCGGAAGGCGGCCAAACGCCGCCGTCCGGACGGCGGTTCCGGTCAGGAATTCCTGACCGGAAGAGTGCTCTATATATATATATATATATATATATATATATATAACCAAACCGGAGGCCCGGACCGGACCCGGTGGCTACCCGGGCTGGTCCCGGGCCTTCCTTCCCAAAAAAAGCCCGGCCGGGCCCGGCCCGGAACCGGAACCGCCCGACCCAGGTCCATGACTACCTTGAAGTTTGCTTTTTCGTTTAACAAAGAGTTCAAGTTTTCACTGAACAGTTAAAAGTTAAGTCAACTCAGTGTCCTTTGTGAAAATTGCTTTTACCTCCAGTTTTCCACAAACGTTAAAAGAACTCTTTTCATATCCAACTTCACAGAAAGATCCTTGAAACAATCTCTTGTCAACTTACTAGAAATAGAAAGTCATTCTTTCTATAACTGAAGAGCGTAATCCGGCCGTTCTAAAGAGGTAAAGACTTTCGTTGTGCATTCTATAACCTCTCAAAAGGTTTAGAATCAAACTCTAAAAGAGGGAAAAAGTTTATAAACCGAAAAGTTTTAAAAGCCTATTCACACCCCTCTAGACTTTTACCTCATTAGGGACCATCAAATATAAAATTGTATGTAAAATTAGTAGTCATATTTTTATTATTAATATCAATTAATTAAAAGAAACTTTGGGAAGCAATAATAGTTAGAAACAATAAAACGCTTACGCGGCTTCTCACTTCAATTAATGGCAGTAGACGATTCAACATACTGAGTTGTAAACGAATCAAATAATTTGTGCTCGATTCGCGATTCAAGAGACGATTCGAATTCGGTAAATTCAAATAAAAATATTAAATTTGATTCGAGTTGTTATCAAATACCAATAAGAATATAAGTGTATTCGATTCGGAAATTAATCAAATATATTCGATTAATAATAATAAAAATATTAATATCAATATTAATAATAATAGTAATAACACTATAATAACTTTTAAAAGATAGCAATACCCTCAAAGCGTAGCCCATATATACACCTTTGCATACAAATTCCAAACCCATTTGTAATACACCAAAATATAAATTCGAATACAAATCAATTTTTTGGTTCAAATGCCTTTCAAATACAATACAAATAATTATGTATTCGATTTGAAGAATAAAATTAGAGTTGTTTGACTTTGATATATACAATTATCTACTTATTTCACACATCATAAGTATAATTTATAATATTTGTGTGTTAGTGTTTATTTCAAAAAGTTTGAAATAGATTTCTATTTATTAATCATAAAATTAATTCACTTTAGTATATTGTGCACCATCTAAAAATGTATTGATCCATTAAATTTAAATTCTAAAAACACATATTAAGTCATAGCATGCATTTACAATATAAAAAATACGGAGTATAAAAAAGTTATTTTAAAGTGATATTTGACTAACATTTAACCTATGCTCAAATCGATTCGATATTCGTATATGATTCGTTAACTATTCTTATTATTAAACAAATACAAATACAAATCGAAATTAATATTCGTTTCATATTTTATCAATTCGAATTCGAAAAAATTAAACAAATACAAATACAAAATCTCATTGTTCGACTCGATTCGATTAGTTTACAACCCTACTTGCTGCAAGACAAATCAAGAGGTGTTGTCTTCGAATCTTCGGCCCTCATTCCAGAGTACTTTTTTTCTATTTTACCGGGCTTTCCGGGTTTGAACACTCCGGGCCGGTTCCAGGTTTAGGCAGGTTATCGGTTATTTCCGGTTTTCACCCTACTGACGGATTACTTAGTAGCTAGCCAGACCGGATCTAGTGCCGGTTGATCGGGTTCCAAGTTTACCCGGTAAGTCCGGTTCAATTTTTAAAACAAAGCAAAAAGGTCGTACAACTATTTCATTTGATAACATGCTATAGCCCTTGCGACGAATCCCATATTCCATGCAAGGACAAAGCACATTGATATACACTACCTGTTTATTCGTGATTTGGTCAAGACATGGATGGTTCAATTTCAAATCATAAACACTAATGGTAACCCTGCAGACATGCTTACTAAGCCTTGCACCCAAAATACACTTCCATTTCATCCTTGAGCCTCTCTACCAACCCAAACAACAATATTATTAACTGGAAAATGCTCTCTTTTGCTCTTTAAGTCATTTTTGCTTTTGGTTATAGACTTTCATTTCTCAAAATTTGGTGCACAATTATTGACTTTTTAATACTTTCGATGTTTTTAATCACTTATCTAATAAAAATAAACTGAAAATTGTACTAGAATTAACCTGATAAGTGAACGAGGAAGACCAAAGGTACTAGGTAGGAATATGTTGATAGCCATGCACCAATAGTGACATAATGGAAGTTACGAATTAAAAATGTAAATCTAATAGTGTTTAAAAGTTAATAACTGAGAACAAGATATAGCCATGACCGCACAGATTGAAAGAAAAAGATTAGATAATTGAAATTCTAAGAGGCCATGTTCTAACATCCACACCGGTTGGGGAACCCGACCAACCCCATTAACCCGGACAGTTAAATTAAAGTAGGGTTTGATATTTTTTTTTTGGTTTAAGTCTCTTTTTTTAAAAGAACATTTATTTATTAATAATAATGGAAATGACAAGAGATAAAAAAAACCAATAGATCAGAGCTATCATGGGATGAGACATAGAACTGACCAGCCATTGAAGACTCGTCAAGGTCTCTAACCCCGCATCATGGTAGACCAATCTAACAGAATCACTGTACTTGCTACTAAAATAAATGGACATAACACTAGAGTTATTAAACTGAAAATATCAAATAGAATCAAATCTTATGGTTTTTTCAGGCACCAACAAGGAAGAAGAGGTTTGATCAACCACCTTCAAAGACGTCATTCTGATTTTACCAGCCATCGAGAAAGGAGAAGAGGTTTGCCACGACAAGAACTAATGGAATTCCAAGCGGTGCTGATCGAGTAGCACCTCCGGAAAACCGTTTTTTGGTCCATTTCCATCAGCCTCATACTGACCTCCAGCACTTGGACCGTGGCTAGATTTCCTAACCCGCGACAGTTCCTGCTCACGCAACCCATCCAAGCAATCATCACACCCGAATAGCCAAAGCTAGTGGGGACAGAATCATCCAATAACTAATGGAAATCATTATCACATGTGTCAATAGCGTCGAATCATTCCAGTCTTCAATTGCTCACGAATTGCGGGAAGCTTGCGAACAAATCCCGCTGCTATGCCTCAAACGGTGCCTGCGAAATCCACAGTCCTGCTGCAAAGATGATGCACGCGACCTTGGTTAGGATCCAACGGCGCCTTTGTTTCTTTCGCTTACGTATAATACCCAGGAATCAGTCGGACTCTAGCTGCCAATCTTGTCTTTTGCGTCATTGCCAAGTCGGACGAGAAGAGGCAGAGAGAAATCGCCTCATACCCTTGAATTCAAGCCTTTTAGGATCGTTTGCAACGGCTTCTGCTTTTAAAAAAACTAATAGTGTTTTAATGAAATGGGGGGACAGATGCATAAATGGTACCTTAACTATTGATAATGTTGCATTTTGGTACACTCTTAAATGAATCAAAACGGTACCTTAACTATACATAAATGTTTCAAATTGAGATTTTATTCAAATTTTTAACAAAAAAGTCTTTCATGACGATCAAAATATGTATAGTTAAAGTACCGTTTTGATTCATTTAAGAGTTAAGGTACCAAAATGCAACATTATCAATAGTTGAGGTACCATTTATGCATTTACCCCAAAATGGGGAGAAGTGATTAAATAAAAGTTGATAGTGTTTGAGAAAAAAGTAAAT